GGGAAAACCTGTCTGAATAAGACACCATCTTTACAGACTATCTGTGTATCCTCTTTCTCTGTCTGTACTAACATCTGCTGTCTAAGAGGATCCAAGTTTCTATCCTTGATCTGATATTCTTTCATTTTATCTACACACATGTCCAAAATATCTAACTATCCTTTCTGCCTACACTTGGCTTCTACTTTCTTTGCAAACTCCTAACCTTTCTTTTTTCACTCATAGTCTTGTAAATGTTATCCTTAGGAGAATTTTCCATAAACATTTGTCCATCCAAATGTCCAAACTCATCTTGAAAATTTGAAATTGTCGATTCCTCTAACTGTAGTTGACCATTCTAAGAAAGCTGCGAACTTCACTAACATTGCTTGGTATAGACACCTTTTCCAAATCAGCGATTCGGTTAGGATCCGGTTTCGTACCGCGCTTGGAAAATACTTGACCAAAAATCCTAGTTCCTCTTTTCAGGAATTCGCACTTCTGAGGGTTGAATGTGAAATTGTTCTCGGATAAGCGCTGTAAGAATTTATGTAAAGCTTCGCCAAGTTCTTCACGTGTTTCACTGAAAATCAAAATATCATCAGGCAGGTTTCTGGCACATTTAATGCCAGGTGTTGATGAAATATATATGCTGGAACAATTCTGAGGCTGCGTTAATGCTTCATTAAGGTCCAATTTGGAAAAAAATACATTTTTCAGATCATAACTAATGTCATGTACAGTTGGAATTAGATGTCAATCCGTTGTATTGCAGTATTTGGTCTTCGCATGTCAACGCACAATCGTACATTTTCATTTCTTTTTGGGACAACAACTACAAGGCTTACTCATGGAGTTGCCTGATTTTCTAGAATTATCTCTACAATTCCCCGGATTTCTAGGTCTGTAACAGCTTGCTTGACTCGATCTCTCATGTGAAATGGAATTCTCATTTGGCATTGAGCTACTGGAACTGCTTGATCGTCGATAATCAGCTTCACCATATGCCCTGCCAACTTTCCTACACCTGTGAAGACATGTGTGTGCTTATTCACTATATCCATCCAGTATATCTAGTATCTTTTGATCTGTTGTGTTAACCTGTGGAGTAGTTACCCCGATGACATTGTTTATGTGTACGCTTACCAGTCCAAGCTCTTGTGCTGTGGCATTACTTAGATTCGGTAACGTACACCGTTGATACTGCCATGCGTTTTTGTACCTATCACTGTTTCAAATTTACCAACGAACTGCATTGGGTGTGTAGTATCATAACTATATGCTTTAACATTAGTTGGAGTTAGTTTGACAGCAACCATTTTATTATATATGTTTGCATCTACAACATTATTTGATGATCCTGTGTCGATCAGAGAGGAAAATGTAGGAACTTCGATTATGATCGGTGCGGTCGGTCTACCACTGTGATTTACTACAGGTATTCTACCGTACAAGTATTCTTCACGGATCATTCCTAAACTGTATGTACTGTATTGGATAGTCCAGTTGGCTTATGTTGTTTTGGGACATGCCTGGATGTCTATATCATCGTACTCACGGTGCTTGGCTAACGTTAGGTACATTTCCTAAAAAGGTATATCGCCATAGCCTTGTCTTTCATCAGAATGAAATGTGCTGTTAGTTTTGCCTTTGTCTCTTTGTATTTATCGGTGGTTTCCGCTAGAGTGTGATAGATATCAAACACCTTTGAGCCTGCTAGGAGCAATAGTGGTATATTATGCATCCTATATTCGTAACAAAAATATTGAAAAAAAAATTAATGAACAAGATCAGCGACCCTTATCTTATTGTCTGTCTATGTTGTTTTACGTATGGGAAATTTTAGGCTCGGTGAAGCATCACAGCAGTGTCTATTTCTCCATTACATTTTTCACAACTAAATTGACAAATAATCACTACCGTAACAATTTGGAACAGGTATGGAAAAACTGGACTTATTTTTATAGCAATTTTCATTTATATACCATAACAGGCCTACTTAAGAAAGTGAATAAAACTGGTGTTTTCGTTGAATGTGACGCTAACAACACGAGTTTACATAAAGTAATCGCAAAGTATTAGTATGCCTATATTATTATTATCTAGTATACTAAATAATAATAGCGTCATACTTATTGTGTATACTACGTAATGATCGCCGCGCATGACTTTCTATGATTGTATGTAGGCCTACATTATTATAGTAAATAAAACACATATAGTAATATGAGCTGGTAAAACATTTTGGAAATCTTTTCAGTATGCAACACAAGAAATTCAAATTTCCCAGAAGAAAATTATATTCTGTTTAACCTTTGCCTCTTGATCTTATTTATTTTACTAATAAGTAAGATAATTTATAGATCTATGTTTTTTACTTGTGTGTAGCTTACATAGGCCAGGTCAGGTCGTAGTATCGCCTTGATCAGGTAAAATATATAGACCTATTCCGTGATTTGGTCAAAAGGCGATATGATAGGCCTACTTCTTTGAACTGTTCATCCCGTTTGTCAACATAATCAGTATATTACTTGCATAATGTAACTCATCCCAGGTACAAGACCCCGATATACTAAATAACACAGAGGTACAGGAAATATGTGATAGTTGTCTTCCTGTTCCATTGGCTTTAAAATCAATCATGGTAAAATTTACAACAAACTCATGTGGTTCATCCCGTGCATTGTTCTGAGCAGGTTCACATCAGTTCTGGCCAACAATAATACAATAGACGTTCCTGATCAAATGAATGTAGTGTATAGGCATATATACCTCTTTGTTAGACCATAGAGGAACGAAAGCATAGGACGTTGTCTTATGGCATATTTGGGTTCCATTAAAGTGGAATTTAATTCAATTCAATTCAATTCAATTTATTATATCATTTGCAACGCATACATTACATCACATAGAAAATATTGTGGCTCTTTTAACATGGACCAACGTCCAATTCGGCAAACAATAATGATGGCTACTTCAATTTTTAAATTGTGTCTCAGTCATGGTCAGTAACAATAATGTGATTCATAGTAAATGTAAACGTGTAGACTTTATAGAACGAATGAACGAATGATAAACTATTATATTTGTAGGGATGATGTTTTACCCTCTCTGCTGACGTGTTATCACACCGAATACTCAGTATCGTCAAACAAATACTAGCGTGAGCGTGAAAAAAACGCTAGTGATTCAGGTGGGATCGAACCCACAACCTCAAGGTAATTAGCCTTATGTCTTAACCACTGGACCACCGAGCTTGCGCTTGGTGGCTAGTGATGAATCCGATTCCCAAGTAGCAGCGGGTACTGCAAGTGCAGATGTGTATAAGAGACAGGTTTTACGGCAGCATGATAAAAGTAAAAAGGGTGTTGATTAAGCTTCACGACATTAATGATCACAATCCTATATTTCCATATACAGTCTATCATATAGACGTTTCTGAATCCGTAGCAGTTGGTACAGAAATTCCAATGGAAAGCGCTTGGGATGCAGATGTCGGTGTGAACGGCATTCACACCTACAGCCTTGACAGTACATACAATGATATGTTCGGTGTTGTTATGACAGTTACTCTCGATGGGGCAAAGACTGTTCACCTAAAAATCAAACAACCTCTTGATAGAGAGACCAGGGTTCTGTACATAATAGTTCTTAGGGCGAGTGACAACGGAACTCCAAGAAGAGAAGGAACAGCACATGAGATGTGTATAAGAGACAGTTCCGCTAGAGTGTGATAGATATCAAACACCTTTGAGCCTGCTAGGAGCAATAGTGGTATATTATGCATCCTATATTCGTAACAAAAATATTGAAAAAAAAATTAATGAACAAGATCAGCGACCCTTATCTTATTGTCTGTCTATGTTGTTTTACGTATGGGAAATTTTAGGCTCGGTGAAGCATCACAGCAGTGTCTATTTCTCCATTACATTTTTCACAACTAAATTGACAAATAATCACTACCGTAACAATTTGGAACAGGTATGGAAAAACTGGACTTATTTTTATAGCAATTTTCATTTATATACCATAACAGGCCTACTTAAGAAAGTGAATAAAACTGGTGTTTTCGTTGAATGTGACGCTAACAACACGAGTTTACATAAAGTAATCGCAAAGTATTAGTATGCCTATATTATTATTATCTAGTATACTAAATAATAATAGCGTCATACTTATTGTGTATACTACGTAATGATCGCCGCGCATGACTTTCTATGATTGTATGTAGGCCTACATTATTATAGTAAATAAAACACATATAGTAATATGAGCTGGTAAAACATTTTGGAAATCTTTTCGGTATGCAACACAAGAAATTCAAATTTCCCAGAAGAAAATTATATTTTGTTTAACCTATGCCTCTTGATCTTAATTATTTTACTACTAAGTAAGATAATATATAGATCTATGTTTTTGACTTGTGTGTAGCTGACATAGGCCAGATCAGGTCGTAGTAGCGCCTTGATCAGGTAAAATTATAGACCTATTCCGTGATTTGGTTAAAAGGCGATATGATAGGCCTACTTCTTTGAACTGTTCATCCCGTTTGTCAACATAATCAGTATATTACTTGCATAATGTAACTCATCCCAGGTACAAGACCCCGATATACTAAATAACACAGAGGTATAGGAAAAATGTGATAGTTGTCTTCCTTTTTCATTGGCTTTAAAATCAATCATGGTAAAATTTACAACAAACTCATGTGGTTCATCCCGTGCTTTGTCCTGAGCAGGTTCACATCAGTTCTGGCCAACAATAATACAATAGACGTTCCTGATCAAATGAATGTAGTGTATAGGCATATATACCTCTTTGTTAGACCATGGAGGAACGAAAGCATAGGACGTTGTCTTATGGCATATTTGGATTCCATCAAAGTGGAATTTATTGATGGCTACTTCAATTTTTAAATTGTGTCTCAGTCACGGTCAGTAACAATAATGTGATTCATAGTAAATGTTAACTTGTAGACTTCATAGAACGAATGAACGAATGATAAACTATTATATTTGTAGGGGTGATGTTTTACCCTCTCTGCTGACGTGTTATCACACCGAATACTCAGTATCGTCAAACAAATACTAGCGTGAGCGTGAAAAAACGCAAGTGATTCAGGTGGGATCGAACCCACAACCTCAAGGTAATTAGCCTGATGTCTTAACCACTAGACCACCGAGCTTGCGCTTGGTGGCTAGTGATGAATCCGATCCCAAAGTAGCAGCGGGTACTGCAAGTGCTATTACCTCGCTTTTACGATGTGAGTTTGCCTCAGGTAAATATCATAGGAGTGATTTTTTTTGCCCTACCTGACGTGTTATCGTACCGAATACTCAGTACGTCCTCAAATACTACCGAAAAAACACTCAAACGGAAACTCACATCGTAATAGCACTTGCATTACCCGCTGCATTCTTTGTTAAATAGAAGCATCCATTTTCGTCATTTTTCATATCGTAAAATGAGCAAGATTTTTATTCTCATTCGTATGGTGTGTTTGCCCGCAGTGTCGGCGAACTTTATAATGTTTAGTGGTTCACCGCCCGTAGCGTTACTGTGGTCAAATAGTCATCCTTGGTGGTATAATGGCTTATATAAAACTGAGCAATTCATTATATAATTACTATAAAATGTCAATATTACACTGAATAATTAAATTTCGACACTTTAAAAATTATAATTAAAATCTGTGAAGCTTTGATACATATGGACGTTTAATTTAGAGACATTCTTCTCTCCACAGACTATTTGATGCAAGAGCTGTTCTAGAATACATTTTGTAGTGAATTGTAAACATGGCGATGTTTTCTTGGACTTCTGGTTCTGTTTTCTTTATAATATTTCAACTTTTCGTTTGTCCTTCGAAAGCTCAACATGATATAGTTTACAACATAGATGAGGAAGAGCCCGTGTTTTGTTTGGTAGGAAACCTTGTAGAAGATTTAAGACTTCAGGTCAGTTCTGGCGCCTCCTTCAGTATTTTAGAAGAAGTCGATTCAGTTCCATTTGCTGTCAACTATGATGGTGTATTGTATACAACAGAGGTAATAGATCGGGAGGTTGGCAAATGTAGTGAAAATCTCAACGACGACTGCCAATTCGATTTGAGAATTTTGATCACAGACGGCAGCATGATAAAAGTAAAAAGGGTGTTGATTAAGCTTCACGACATTAATGATCACAATCCTATATTTCCATATACAGTCTATCATATAGACGTTTCTGAATCCGTAGCAGTTGGTACAGAAATTCCAATGGAAAGCGCTTGGGATGCAGATGTCGGTGTGAACGGCATTCACACCTACAGCCTTGACAGTACATACAATGATATGTTCGGTGTTGTTATGACAGTTACTCTCGATGGGGCAAAGACTGTTCACCTAAAAATCAAACAACCTCTTGATAGAGAGACCAGGGTTCTGTACATAATAGTTCTTAGGGCGAGTGACAACGGAACTCCAAGAAGAGAAGGAACAGCACATGTCTATCTGAATGTCGTCGATTCTAATGACAACTCCCCGCAATTCACGCAATCCGAGTACAGAAAATCTGTGCCAGAGAATGTGCCAGTTGGATATGAAATCCTCAATCTACACGCAGAAGACACTGATGAAGGCAATAATGCACAAATTGAATATACATTTGGCAGCAGTGTTACTTCTATTGTGAAAGAACATTTTGAAATTGACCCAGATGATGGCGTGATACGCACAATAAAGAATCTAGACCACGAGAGAAACAGCGTGTTTGTAATGATAATAGAAGCGAAGGATAAAGGTCAGAATTCAATTTCTGGATTTACTACCGTTACCATAGATGTTACAGATGTGAACGACAATGCTCCTGTTCTTGAGGTAAGCTATTCAGCAGATATTTATCGGGAAGGCAACACCATACGGATACCAGAATCAATCAATGTGGGATTCTTTATTGGGCTTCTCTTGGCCTCTGACGCAGATAGTGGTGAGAATGGCCAATTTGATATCACCATCGATGGAACACATGGTCATTTTAAGTTTATACCAGACCCCTCTGCTCCATTCGATTTCGCTTTTACAGCAGGATCTGAAATAGACAGAGAAAAGATACCTGAGTATAATTTGACCATCATTGCGCAAGACAGGGGGAACGAGAACAATAGGAAAACCACTGTCCTTCAGATAAATATCATTGTGACGGACGTCAACGACTTCACACCATATTTCACAAGTCCAGTAAACAGATTTGTAATGCCCGAAAATAATGATCTTGGCTACTCTGTTGACACCGTGATTGCTATTGACAACGATGAAGGATTAAATGCGGAGATCGTTTATACACTTGAAGAAGCTGCCGGCTACTTCCGGATAGATCCTTTAAGTGGAGAAATCACTGCCATGCAATCCATAGACAGAGAATCAAACGCGTCTCTCTCATTTTATGCTTCTGCTTGCGACAAGGGCACACCACAGCTTTGCAATACAACGTTAGTCGTAGTGCAGATTTTAGATAAGAATGACAATCAGCCGTATTTTCTCCAGGAAAAGTACATCTTCGAAATTGAAGCGAACGCAGCCGCATTAACGTTGATTGGTCAAGTCGCTGCAACGGATGAAGATGTAGGAATGAATAGAAAATTGAGTTACTCTTTGTTAGAATCTAGTGAAAATTTTATTATTGAGCGCTTAACCGGACAAATATATAGCAAAAGACAATTTGACAATGAGGAAAAGAATAACTACAGATTGACAGTGGTTGTATCGGATTCTGGCCTTCCAGCTAAAACTAATTATGTTATTATCGAAATTCTCATCAAAGACATTAATGAAAATGCTCCATTTACTGCTTTCCCAACACCAATCAATGACATATTTTTCATTCCTGCAACTGCACCATCCGATTGTTCGGCAAACGAGTCCCTTTGCCTCCAAGGTATGTATGTCTATGAAAAACAACGAGTGCACTTTTTATAAGAACATATTTTATAAAGTTTTGTCAAGATTATCATTTTGTTTTTCAGAAAACAGTTGCATGAACATTTATAGTCATTTATTTATAGTCATGTGAATATATATAGTCGTGATGTGATTTCATCATGACCATATTTAGACATGTCACATGTTTTTTGTCAAATCAACTTTGATTGTCCGGACAGGGCTTAATAACGCGGCTAAAACAGTAACTGAAGAGCCCTATTGCAAGAGTAGCCCAAGAGTATCGTCGAGCCCTTGCCGCATACAAATGCATACTTAATGCCATCCTCACCAAAAATGATCCTGTACGCGAATCCATTTGTGAATATTGTACAATTTATTTTTTTTTTAAAACTGTAATCTATAGTGCTATACCCTGAAGGGCATCATCCTGGTTCTTAGTTCTAGTTTTGGGGCAAGAATATTGAGCAATAATACATTATTATAATACACTGGATACATCGTACTTTTATTAAATTAATATATCCAATGTATACATCTGTTTCCATCGGCCATTATTATTTCAGAATCTAGGTTCGGAGACTAAAATACGGTATTAATTACTTAATGGAAGTATAACGTAAAGTACCAATATAAAAATATGATCATTTGAAGAGCAAGAAACCATCAACAAAATAACATTAATAATCATGTGATGCGTTTGATTTTGGTAGGTCTTTACCGTTTTAATTATTTTGTCAGTTCTTGGTTTATTGAAGGCAGATAGACGACGGATTTACAAGGTGATACTAATAGAGCACTCAAATCGGGGTCTATCCAGGTTTTTTTTTGGTTTTTTAGTTTTTTGGGGGTTTTTTGTGAAGGTGGGCGGGAAGGGAGGGTTGCATTGTTTGAATGAGTTTGATTTTATTGTGGTCAGAGATCCTACCCGGAATACAACAATTACGACGATGTAATTATGTTGACAAGGAGTGATGGAGACACTAAACATAGCGGCCAAGTGCCTTGAGATTCCACCCACCACCATAATATCGCCATGGTTGGGGCAGAAAACGCAAAAGTGTCTTAAAATAAAAATAATTAAAAAAAACCAAACAAACTTTATCCACCTCCAAAAGAGTAAAGCGGTAAAGTCGTTACATTAGAGAAAGGACAGTTTGAATGGATTTCAAACCTGTTTATTTATTATTTTTAAGTTATTAACAATTTTAGATTATAATATGCAGTAAATTATTACTATCAGTCCAGATTTGTATCTATGCATTGCTTAATAGATTTCCTATAAAGTAGCGGAGTGCAATTGTTTTTTCCCATACATTTAAGCCAGAAAGTATAGAGAGCGCTATTTTAGTACACTTAGGTGAACTGATATGAATATGCATGATTGACCCCTCGCAAAAGAGGTTGTTTTCAGTGGCTTATCGAGTAAAAGCTGCAGTACTTACGCGAGGGTGAAGCTACGACGACGTAGGCTAAAACTCTAAAATAGGTCTTGTTAGTCAAGACAGTTTGAAAATTAATGGACTGTTGTGATAATATCTCTGTGACTAGACACAGTTTACGTACAGCATGGTCTTTGAAAGTATAAAAAACACAGTAATATTGAATCTGGCTAGGCCTATTTGAGATGCGATGTAGCAATTGTATTCCCCTATTTATACGAGTACTGATTCTTAAGTTTCTCTTTATTTTCACCTAAAATACATGACATTATTTTTCCAAGGTTCAAAATAATAAATATACATACACATATCTAAAAGTTCAGAAATGCACGGACGCAATAATTACGAGTACTTCGGACACAGTTATTACTTACAATGTTTCAATTAAAAATGTTAAGTAGAAAAAAAAAAATCACTGTCTATTAGCAGACATGACCATTTATTGGCTAGTAAAGTTTAAAGATTTTTTGGGTAGAAATGTCTGTAAATCAGGAAATACACATCGATCTGTTTTTGATCGTTGAATGAGCAATTCAATTATTTAATTTCAATGGTTTTTAATGTTTTATTGATTTTGTCAAAACAGTCTGTCATATAATCAGTGTATAGAATATCGTCGGTTGGTAAAATGAATGATTATAATATCTGCAAGTACATCTAAGTCTATTACTTCGTATTCATATTGAATGTGAATAAAATGTTTTTTAAAAATTGTCATTGAAACTATACTAAGAATAGAGGGATGTAACGATTGGCGTCACGTGACCTAACTTGGTTGTTGATATTGTAACGGACCTGGTCCTTACAGGATGACCACGAGGGCCCTGTGACTTCAGCAACACAAATAAACTAAATAGTAACGAACTAAATTATAATTCTCTTTTGAGTTCAACTCTTTATTCAGTACCTCAGATTCAGTAAATAATTACAACTAGTCTTACGGATCAGCCGCTTTACTACTGGTAGTCAATGCAACCGTCCAAGACGAATTCTCAAACATTAATCCTTCCCCTCTGCCTAACTGTAAGTAGTTAATTTGCATATCTTGGCCAAAACAACAGGGCACTGAAGGGAAAATCTAATTGATTAAACTAAGGTTGGGTGATCCACTTTCTATCTGGATTAGTCCATTCTCCATGACCTTAGTGATCCTGGGGAAATACCAAATTCGTGTTCCGCCTCTGCTTCTGCTGGTGCCTCGTCATCTGGTTCCGTTGTTGGAAAGGGCACAGTTTTCTTTATGGTTTCTAGCTCTGGTTCAGCAGGCCACCCTTCCCAGGTATAAATTCAGTTGGGACCAGTTGGAAATCCCAACACATCCCAACTGGGCCAAATCTCAATGAACTTATTAAATCGATTTTATATTTAGAATCTGCCTATGTAGAGAATACATATCTGTTTTATCTGAAACGAATTGTGGCTTTCCTCCCTGACAGGGGTGGGGGGGGGGTACCCGACGGGACTGCAGTTTCCCTAAACTTAATCTCCCTACCATACACATATCCATCTAACAATGATTTTGGGTTGAGGGCAAAATAATGTTATCTATCAGACAGTTAACCTGTTACTAGAGAATCAGGAAGTATCTCGAATTGCACTCAATTCTGATTTGTCACTTCAGTTGAGTACTGTGTTTTTTAATTCATGATGGTGGAGTTAAGTCACTTTATACATTCTTGGAAGGTAGTTTAGCAGTATTATCCACTATGGAGGTAATAGGTTTGTTTTATTATTCAGTTAATGTGGGTTACTACTAGGGATGGCATAATTAGGCATGATACAGTAGTGGGTAGTGGTAGTAAGACAGACTTGGAGAGACCTAGCCTAGGCCAGGCCTGGCATATTTGTGCATAATGCATAGACATAGTCATAGGCATAGACAGTTTCACACTGTTCTCTCTCTGTGCCAGCTATTTATCCTCAGTGAGGATATAGATAGGCTATAGGCTAGCGTAGCCTTAGGGATATGGCCATAGGGCCCTTGTTGGCCTAGCTAAACTGCAGCCTTCATAGCCTGTTTAATTAGGCCGTGTTCTCATAATTATTATAATATAAGCTATCAAGTGCATGCTTTATTTAAATAAAGTTGGTGTTTAGGGGTAGGGCCTGGCCTAAACCGGGGTGGGGTTAAAGTCTAGTCTAGCAATTATTATTTGCTGAAAGTTGATGTATGTTAAAAACTCAATCAAGTGTGGTGGTGTAGGGAAGTATTTTGTTTGTTTAAAGCCTTACAGTGTCTGTGGCAGTTAATTGAACAAACAGAAAATTACCTGCTTTAGTCAAAGGTGAATGTAATGTTTTCTTTATGTTTTAAGTTTACTGGTTCTAGGTTCTGATTAGCAACATGCTCCAAATAAATTATATGTACTGTAGTTACTATATGATGACGGTTATTAAATACGGGTCTCCCTCCAATCAAAGACCACTATTGGGACCAGGATTTTCATTTTCTTTAGCAGCTTCGGTCGCTAGTTAGAATTAGAAAAATAAGACAGTCAATTTGCGACCATAAAAAGTGGTCTTTATTTAGAGGTGGTCTTTAATTAGAGCGGTCTTTTATTAGAGGGAGATCAGTAATCAAATTTAATGTGTATGTAATTAGGACAACTGGAAATGGAACAAAAGAGCCAATGTACGCAGCCAGTGTAAGAAGCCCGCTGTCATTTGTATGCCCACCAACGTCCTGTACCATTGCCATGTCTGTTTTTCTACTTGCCAAGTAAATAGCGGGCATACGTCAGTACACAAATGAACGCGGGCATTCTACACAGCTATGACGTTTCTATAAACGGGAGTATACACTTTTGTTCTATTTATACCCTTTGATTTGGCCTATAAGGGACACTGAAATTTGTAACTTTTTTTTTGAAAACTAAAAAAAAAAAAAAAAAAAAAAAAAAAAAAAAAAAAAAAAAAAAAAAAAAAAAAAAACAGGAATAGAAACTGATAATTCACTTTTGAAAAAAAAGAACTGCTAGTCTCTTACTTATCTTAGCTACTGTACATTATGCATATCATAATTATACATTAATTTCGAGGGGTTACAACACATATGTCACCTTAATTAAGATTATTTTAAAAATAAATATTGAGCATAGGTATTTCAATTGACAAAAGGCCATTTCCCCTGCCCCTTAATTTCTTATAATTGACCTGTATAGTCTGATATTTCATTCATTTTTATTTTTTCAAAAAAGTGTTTTGAAATGCCCACCACAATGAAATGCATATGCTCTGTTTTACATTTTAGGCATGTTTTTTTCATGTCTAAAAGCGCCTAGAGGTTTCCATAATATGTGCTCTATATATAAGTTAGCCATTATTATCCTTATTTCAGATTTTGTTATTGTCATATCTTTCAGAAAGTGTAAAACTCCGAAAAAAAAATAGTACAAGCCAAAGTGATTCAATATTTCAAGCTTGATTTGTTCAACTGCAGAATTCATACTATCTGATCTTTTAGCTAGAATTTTAATTTAGCTTGCTACCATCGACATGAAAAAGCATCATTGTGAACAGCTGCTTCAATATACAAAGAATGCTGGTTAATGCATGCTAACACACAAGGTTCTTTTGATTATTGTTTTATATACAGTAATAAACTCTAGTGATGCTTTAATATAATAGGCCTACATTACAGACAAAAATGCTGATTTATACAGGACTGTAAAGCGAAGGACTGTAGAATAAGCTTGAATTTGAGGTACAGTATGTGTAGCAGAAGACTTAAACCAGTTTTTAATTAAAGAAATTATGGTTTGTATATCTTAAACTCAGTGTTTTTTTGTAAGCCTACAGGAGTTGATTAAAGCCATTGTTATTTTACAAAAAGGATCTGGCACCAATTGAAGACCAGTTGGAACTTTGACCAATTGAGAACCATTTGGAACTTGGATCAATTGAAGACCAGTTGGAATTGGGACCAGTTGGAACTGACACCAGTTGAATTGTCCAAAAACACAACACTCAACTGGTTCCAGTTCCAACTGGAATTTAAAACCAGTTGGAATTAGGACCAGTTTTAACTGGCACCATTGTCCAAAAACACAACACCAACTGGTCCCAGTTCCAACTGGTCCAACTGGAATTTGGGACCAGTTTGAACTGGGACCAGTTGAATTTTCCAAAAACACAACCCGCAACTGGTTCCAGTTCCAACTGGTCGAATTGGAATTTAAAAACCAGTTGGAATAGGGACCAGTTGAATTGTCCAAAAGCACAACCCGTAACTGGTTCCAGTTCCAAATGGTCTAACTGGAATTTTTACCTGGGATCTCACCAACATAGGGCTTAATATGGTCGAAGTGAACCACCTTTCCACGACTTCCTTTAATCCGGAACGTAACCTCAGTTAGTTAGTTTCTGTCCTTTCCACCTACATTCCAACTTAGGAGACATACACTTTTTCTTTGTTTCATCGAACCTCCAAACAAACTGTTCCACCTTCAATCCTGGTTTTTGTGCCACTCTCTCGTAGAGTCGCTTCTGCCTTCTGGCGCTGCGCTTTAACACAGTTGCTGCTCGTTCAAGTGGATTAGAAACAGACCATTTATGTTGGGTTGACTTTAGCTGATGGGGTGATGTACAGTGGCAGTGGTTACTGCCACTGTACGCACTTCGTACACCTACGGATCCAGGCCCTCACTTCCCCATCAATCGTGGTCAGTAAAAGCGTTTTCTCAGCGTCTTTGCAGTGTTATATACACCTAAGTGTCCACTTGTTACAAATCCATGAACCTCGTTTAAAATCCCTTCTCGTAAAGATTTGGGTACAACTAGCTTCCAGATAACCTCTTGTCCAACGTCTGACTGCCACTTTCGGTACAAGACACAATCACGTAACTGCTGGGCCTCCCACTGCACCCAATAGGTACGAAACTATGGTTCCACTGTATCCCATTCCGCTCGATCACCCCCAGACTCTTTAGTCTTGATAACCCAAAGTATTAACCCCTCCTCCCGTTGTTTCGTACCGATTTCAGCTAAAGAAACGTCTAGTACCACTCTTAACACTGAAACACGTTCTGTTTTCTCGGTTACAGGGGGCAAACATTAGTTAGCTACTCGTTCCTCTCGTTCTCTAGTATAAAAACAACTCCCGTCCTGACTAACACACTGGATGCACTCGTTCTTGAGCCGAGTGTGACGAGCCCTCTGTGCAGGATGTGAAAGAGTAAAAAAACATTGAGAATCTATATTCTTGAGATTGTGAAGAATTTTGTACACTTCAATCAACCTCGGTCACGTCGTTCTTCAAAAGAAGAAAGTCCTAAGGCCCGCAAACGTAAATCGGATGAAAGGTTTTGGAGTTCCGGTTTGGTCGCCCTATGCTGCACCTTCTATAATGCTAAGATATCCATTCTATAGTGGGGAGCCCACGCCTCCACTGTGTACTATATGTGAGACCGAATGAGGGTTTTATAGAGTAGAAGAAACATACTCTTAGCCATGTAAGTAAAATCTCTCCTTATACGGCCAGCCATTGAGTTTGCTTTGGCAGCAACTTTGGATATATGAGTGAAAAATTTCAAATCTAGAGTTACTGTGATCCCAAGATCTGTTTGTTCAGTGACCTCTGAAAGAAGTGTCTGACCCATAGAGTAAAGATACTTCTGGTTTTTTTTTCAACCTAAATAGAGAACCTTGCATCTTGTGTCATTGAAACGGAGTAACCATTTGTTACTCCAATAAACAAGCTTGTGGATATCTTCTTGAAGGATATCAGCATCAGATAAAGATCTAATATTTATGTAAACTTTACCATCATCAGCGAAGAGTTTACCCGTACTCTCTAAATTTTCCAAAAGTTCATTAACATAAGTCAGAAAGAGTGTTGGTCCAAGGACCGAACCTTGTGGGACGCCATATGTAACAGACACCCATGACGACACAAAGCCTTTAACGGAAACACATTGCCTACATTTACTTAGGAAATTTGATATGCAAATAAGAAGACAGCCTTGGATGCCAAATGCTGTAAGTTTAACTTTAGGACGCTCGTGAGGCACAGAGTCAAACGCTTTGCGGCAATCCAGATACAATATGTCTGGC